AGAGAGAGAGACAGAGACAGCGAGAGAGAGAGGGCGGCAGACATTCTTCTCACGGTACATGCATATATACAGGGAGTGGCAAAGGCTGCTGCTGCTCTGCAGTGCCTGCAATTCCCTGCAGTGCAATCTATTCCGAACTGCCAGACCTGTGATCCACAGCACGCCATCTCGCCGGCCAGCATCCAATCACCACGTGCTGCTTGTCCAAAAAAAAAAACACTATTGGTTAACGGGGACCCCCACTTTTCAGCCCTGGGTAACCATGAATGATCCTGAAATTAGGGTTTCGGGGTCAAATTTTGTGGTACGAAGTTTGCTTGAAATGGCCTTATGGTTTTCTTATAAATTGAGGTGAAAAATGGGGGGGCGGTTAACCATCTCTCTGTTTGTGGGGTTCTACGACTGCAAGAACCCCACTCTTTGAAATTGCGGTGGCATTGACCAGGTGCTGCTTGTCCAAAAAAAAAAACAGTTCAGGAGCAAAAGTTCCTGGAAAAAAAACAAAAAAAAACAAACAGCTGTACAATTTAAAAGACTGGGGTTCTTAATCAGACGGAGGACTGTTGACAGAAGCACTCTTTCGGAGATACCTGCTGGAAAAAAGTTGGGGATGCCCTGAAGGATAACTCGAACTCGAGCTTGGATTGGACCGCCTTCCATAACTGCTTTCCATGCCATTGTGGGGCCTGCTGTAATGTCAATCTGTCTGAGGGAGTGGCAGGCTTGCGATTTACCACCTGGAACAGACATGGAGGAGCCCCAGGAACATATTAGCGACAAGCTTTCTCAATCAACAAGAGAGACAGAAAGAGAGAGCGAGAGAGAGAGAGAGAGAGAGAGAGAGAGAGAGAGAGAGAGAGAGAGAGAGAGAGAGAGAGAGGACATACAGACAGACACAGACACAGACACACACGGAGAGAGAGAGAGAGAGGACATACAGACAGACACAGACACACACACAGACACACGGGGAGAGAGAGAGAGAGAGAGAGAGAGAGAGAGAGAGAGAGAGAGAGAGAGAGAGAGAGAGAGAGACTAAGGTTCCAGAGACAATGGAAGAGGAGCTGACCATGTTTATCAGATACATCAGGTAGATGAGATACATCAGGTAGATCAGATACATCAGATACAATCATAGAATTCACATACATCAGATACAATGATAGCATTCATGATGAACAACTTACTTAGTGGAGGTGGATGAATAATCGCACATGAAGTCAAAACTGTCTTGAGGGAAGGGCAAAAGGAGGAGAGAGTACGAGTGAGTCAATCACTCCGGCAGCCTTTACTTTATGAGGGAATCTAAACAGGGAGGGCCCGCACGACACTCCATCCTCGCTAGTCCTTGTGAGCGACAGGGGTAGGGCAGGAATTCATCAACCATTTCCAAGGGTTTTTTTAACTTTTTTTATATGCTCGTGAAGATGGATGAGTGGATGAGACACAGAGGAAGAAAGGAACAAGAGGGCGACAGAAAGACAGCAAGAGGAAGAAGAAACTGCAATGAGCGAAAAAAACATTGAATGATTGCAGAGAGAAGACTGCATATCAAGGAGGATGTCGACCGAAAAATCGACAATTCAAAACGGAAAAAAAAAAAAAAAAATGATAAAAAAAGTTAAAAACATCTTTAAAACTGTCAAAAGGATTGAGGCAAGGCAAGGCAACAACAGTAGAAACGGCCTCTGCCTCTGCTCGCATGAAGCATTCTTATCAGATCAACAAGGAGATGTGCCGAGGGAAGGGGAAGTAACACGAGCACAAAGGAGACCTCACTCCGCACCAGGACCATCATGCAGACCAGGTTCCAAACGAACCTGGTCGTTTAGTCTGGTTGAATTGTCTCCTAAGTTTAGCAGGTGAAAAAAGCCTAGACTAAGGACTCACATTGGCAGTCAAAAGAGCCTGGATCAAGAAGGGGACTTTCACTCCGTACCAGGACCATGAAACAGACCAGGTTCCAAGCTTGTAGCAGAACCTGGTCCGCTTACTACACCAGGTTCCAAACTTGCAGTAGAACCTGGTCGTTCAGTCTGGTTGAAATGTCCCTAAAATTAAGCAGCAGGGGAAGGGAGGGACCATAGCAAAGACTCACATTGACAGTGGATAGGTCCAGGTACAGGAAGGAGGCCTGACTCTTTACCAGGAACCATTACCCAGCTATCAAGTTCTCTCTCTCTCTCTCTCTCTCTCTCTCTCTCTCTCTCTGAGCCCCCCTCTTCCATGTTATTTGCCCCTCCTCACTGGTTCGAAAATACTGCAGATCAAAATTTCCAAAATTTCATCAGCAGGCAAACCCACGGTTCCACTCCACTGTGTCTCGCTTCTCGCCGATGACTTTCTCCCTCCATTCACCCCCCCCCMCMCCCCCCCCTTCTCTCCTCAGACAAAGCCCCAACCCCTCCCCCCCACACTAACCCACCGGTCTTAGACTATTGTATCTGCTCCCCGGCAGTTCCTCCTTCGTCGCTTCTTGACTTCTTTATCATCCCTTCCGCACAACCTCCAACGGTTCTCTGTGAGACATCAACGACACAATTCTCTGCAGCTGCAGAAACGCCAGCGGTCGACACGTGGCCTTCTTTCTGATACTCGAACGCTTCCAACTGCTGACGTGTTCTCTTCTTCTCCACGGTGTCTTCACAAATACCGTTTCCTTGAGGTTGTTGAGCGGCCCGCTCTTTCTCCTCGCTTTTCTCCTCTTCCCTGTCCTCACTTTCCTTCTCTCTCTCCCTACTCTCCTCCTGCCTATTGTGCTCTTCCTCCTCCTCCTTCTCCTCCTCCTTCTCCTCCTCCTTCTCCCTACTCTCCACTGGCACAATCTCTCCTTCCCTCTTCTCTTCCAGTCTCATAAGAGATGACATCAACGAGCCATCAGCTTCGCTGATTGCACAATCGACACGTGTCATCAGTCCACACGCCGCCCTATTACTGTCCCCGATCAATCTTCCTGCCGCCACGTCATCCATCAAACCACTAGTATTCTGAGTTCTGTTGGGACAGAGTCCTAAATCCAATCCCATCTCCGTCCTCTCTCCTTCTTCTTCCTCTCTCATGTTTTCCTTGCCCTTTTCCTCCCTCCTTTCCCTCTCTCCTTTCCTTCTATTCTCTCCCTCCTCTCTCTCCACGACACTTCCGTTATCTTTCCTTATCGGATCCGTTAGGCAGGTCCCCACGAGATCCAGACCGATTCTTGCCTCCACGCCTGCTGCCTCTCTCCTGCCCGCTTCGCCGACTCCTATGCCATCGATACCACCATCTTCATTGCAATCTCTTTCCTCACTCATATCATCTCCTCTCTCCTCCCTGCTCCCCACTCCCCTCTCCTGTCTCCTCTCCAAACCCCTCTCTTCTCCCCTCTCCTCTCTATCCTCCTCTTCTCTCTTCTTCTCTCCGTTAACAGCACAGAGCTCGTTTCCATCATCTCGATCTTCATTTCCCTTCTCTTCTCTCCTCCCCATCTCCTTCACTCCCAATCCTTGCCCTCCTTTCTCCTCCATCATCATAACTACTGCAGCTCCATCTTCCCCTAGCCGCTCCCTAGCCGCTCCAATCAACTGCCGTTCCAATCCGAGCGGTTTCCCCTCTTGCCGATTTGGCCCCCCGCCAACGACCTCCATAGCCAACGTACAACCACTGCCAGTCTCGACCTCGCGCTCAGAATCGCCGTCTTCCCATTCCTCCTCCCTGAAGTATTTTCCCTCCTGAACAAGTTCCTCGTTGACTACCGCCCCTTCCTCCACAGCATCCTTGTTCACCATAGCCATATCTGCCCCACCCTTTTCTCCTCCTCCTCCTCTTCCTCCTCCTCCTCCTGCTCCACCTTTTCTCTCCCACTGAGGAGGACGGCGGAGGGCGCTGTTTCTGTTGATTGCCTTGCTTCTTCCGATGCTTCTCTTGTCCTCGGGATTGCCGACGGCAGACGTCGATCGCTGCCACGTCGGATCGTCATGAGACAACGACGAAGCAGGCGGCGATGGCTGCCACGTCGGCCATGGCTGCACTGGAGGGCGAGGATCGTCTTCCACCACGACAAAATTGCACTCCTCTGATGGCAGAGCGACGGTGATTTGTGGGAACTCGATGATGCATTTGCGCTGCAGTTGATTGACCAAGGGTTCATCCATACTCAGTCGATAACACTTGCGAGCGTTCGCCGCGCATGGCTCTTTCCTTAACAGAATCCTTAACTCCGCAAGAGGAAGAGCACAATGCTTCCTCAGTTTGAATCTCGTCCCGGCGTTTTCCGTTCGATTCTCTAGCAGTTTTTCCAAGGCCATCTTCGGCGAATCGTGTTCGTTCATCTCCGGCGTGATCAGAGTCACTCCGGCGCCAGCAAACGTCCACTCCACCCTCCACATCACGCATCGGCGTGGCTCATCGTAGAAGCTGGTGTTGGATTTGCGTTTGCTCATGCCATGAGCGACGAACAACAAATCAACAGATCTTCTTCTCGCTTGCTTGCGGAGCAGTGTCATCCGACGGGAAAGCTTGTACTTGTCCCCTCCTCCTAGCGGGGCTATCAATCGCTTGGCCACGTCAGCCTGTCTCAACGTCTCTTCCAAAAAATTGTAATCGGAAATAAGATGAGTATCTGTGAAATCAGATAACGCAACGTAAGCAGTTTTGCACCGCTGACCGCTGCACCCGCTCTTCGTCTTGTGCTCCTTCACACAGGCGACGCAGCATGTCCTCGTCCCACAGCCCGGACACCGGTACTTAGCCGCATTCACCTTGCACAACTCGCAACACACAGACCCTAGCCCTAGTTTTTTGCTGCTACCATCAATCGCAGCATCGATATCGTCCGCAGAGCCCGATCTAACGGCGGAGGCGGAGGCGGAGGCGGAGGCGGAGGCGGAGGCGGAGGCGGAGGATTTCACGCCGACCTCGTCCTGGGTAATAAACACCCCTTCCTTCTCATCTGGCTCTCTCTCTCTCGATTCCATCTCTCTCGATCCCATCGCCCCTTCTCTTCCTTCTGCATTTATCATCGCCCCCACCATCGTCGACGATCTTCCCTCCCTCCCGCCTTCATCCTCCCTCCCTTGCATTGTCATTGCCATTGACGTCAACAGAAAATACTAAGGGACAGATCCCACTACACACTACACTAGCAGGACGATATCCCCTGTATATATATAGATATATATATATATATCGTTAAACAGGGCTGCCTGGTAAACCGTAGGCAGAGAGGGAGAAGAGGACAACAAATGTCATTAGAAGGCTGAACCCTATGGTACTGACTACGACCGGTGATGGGACTATAACTATGCCTACTACCAGTAGCTCGTCCGAGGAGGAAAAACGTCTTTATGATCGACGTTCATCAGCAAAATGGCAACATTATTTAAAAAAAAAAAAAAAAAAAAAAAAAAAAAACAGCCAACATTTAACTCGAGATAACAGCCGTCGGATTGCAAGACATAACCATGGGTATGCTCCGACTGAGGCTCCCGATCTTAGGATTGGGATGCCGATGGCACGCGCTTCTCGCCTTCTCCTCCTCCTCCTCACCCCCTCCTACCAACATAGTTATTGCCGATCCATCACGATCACTCCAATCAGACGGACGAGCTCGAGCGGACACGTGTATTCAACTTGACGTTGACGTGTGCATTTGCCGCCGCCGCCGCCGCCATGTCAGCCCCGATCCCGATCCATCAGAGAGGATGGAGAGCACCGCCCGACCTCTTCCCATACCATGAGAGCCCCCCTGGTCCGTCCGTTCCAATCTTCCCCCCCCTACACACGTGGAAGATGAGGCCACATATATATATATAGATATATATATACCCGCACAAGGAGGTTTCTGGACGAATTTGAACGGAATTACGGCCAGATTCAGTCAGTAGAAAACTGCATAAAAATGTCGGTGTTGAGAGTAAAAAGGCTTGCTTTCCCGCCCGCAGCGTCAACAACGCATGTCAAAAAGACTTGCTTGTTCGATTTCCGATTTCCGATTTCCGAACCAAAAAATACGAGTTTGGAAAATAGGTTAGCACCCCCCAAAATGTGCTATGCTTAATTAGCCCCCGCCACGTCAGCACTGCAGAAACCGATCAGATTCTTCGATGTCGCTGCTGCCATGTCATATGCCGATCCCGAGCTCGTCACATCGGCCCTCGCTCCGCTATTTCTCTCCAAATGTGCAAAATGAGACTGAATCTTGCCCTAGAACACGGAAAGATACAGCATTTTATTTTTTTTTGTATTTTGTGCGTGTGGAGAGTCGTGGAGCTCGGTCCATCGTCACTCCAGATTCGCGTGCCTACACACACACCCTTGACGGTACCGCGCCGCCGTTCGGCTGAACGTCCCAAACCCAAAAAAGACACCTGAGCGCGGCATCGGACCCTCTACTCTATGAGTTGGACACCGCTGATGCTGTCCAGCTGCCTCTGAAAAACTCACCTGACCTAGATCTCAAGAGCAATTCATTCATTTCCTCCTCCTCGGGATTCTCCTTCTCCTGTATACTTCCCTCCAACTCGATCGATTATTTATTTCTATGATTTTTCATGATGAAAAACACGATGATTTTTTCCATGGTTTCAAGAGGAGGAGCCGCCCGAGGAGGAGGAGGAGGCGGAGGGAGGGAGGAGGAGGAGGAGGAGGAGGGAGGGAGGAGGAGGAGGAGGACGGTGATGCTGCTCAGTTGCCTCTGAAAAACTCACGTGACCTACGGCCTCGCTGCACTACCCTCGACATGCACAAAAGACAAAAATATGGCGGTGCATCTTTCCATGTTCTAGCGGAAGATTCACTCTCGATTTGCACATTTCGAGAGTAGTGGAGCGAGGCCCCTAGATTGCAAGAGAAATCATTCATTCCCAAAACGACCCTGAGACATCGGGGTGGGGCACCGGACCCTACAAGCCGGGGCGAGGTCCCATCAGCAACAAGGATTGGATTGAATGTCCGAATCTAGACGTGTTTGTTGACACGTGCGGAGATTCGAGATTGAACTGATTTTCTGCACCTCTGCGTAAAACACATCCAGTTTCGGGAGCTGAATCCAATCCTCTTTGCTAATGGGACCTCGTCCCCGGCCAGCGCTGATGCTGTTCAGTCGTCGGACTTCGAGGTTCCGCGCGGGTGTGTCTGTGCCAAGCACAGTACGCTCCCCTACGCTCCCCCCCCTCCTCAACACACAAGGGCCCACCCACGCACACAACCGCACCACCGCCAGCACACGCACTCACGGCCGTGGGACGTACCGGTACCGGCTGGCCCATTCGATCTTAAAACCTGAAGAAGGAGCACAGTGCCCACAGCCTGGATTGCCGCGCGGTCTTAAAATCTGATCTGAAGATCTGGTGACGATCCAGACCATCAGCCCCGTACGATCGACGGCCTGGATTCGATTCTGGTTACCTTCTCGCAACAATTCGGGCTTGGCCAGGTCGGACTGTGGACGGCCCCGATTCATCAGAAGTTTTGCCCTCATGTTTGTTTGTGCTGTCTGAAGATGGACACCGATTTCATAAATAAATAAATAAAAAAGATGGACACCGACACGGCCCTCTCTTTCTGTTTTACCTTTTATTTTTGTCTTTTATTTTTCACCAGTACCTTTTCCCATGTGGATATTTTGTTATTTTATTTATTTATTTGGCTACGGGGAACCCCGTAACAGCCACATCCGTGCTCAAGCCTCCAACGAGGGAACATACGGGAGCTGCACCCACCAGCAGGTACCATACCTGCTACAGCAGGTGGCCCGGGGTCAGCCGGTAGCATACGGACCGAGCTTCTTCGATGGGCCAGTCACTGTGCCTCCCCTCCGGTCCCCTACCTCTATGACCATCATCAGTCTCTGCTCAATGCCATTCGGGGGGCCCACTGGCATATCTAGTGGTGGCGGCCGCCGTGCTTGCCCAGGAAAGTACATGACCTCCTGAATGCCACTTGCGTGCTTTACCAGCTGACCTAGGCCGCTGGATGTAGGATATTTTCTGGTTGTCCCAACAGCAGTGGGAAATGTTGTAGCAGCTGGCCACCAGGCATAGTATGGCAATTGTAGAGGCTGGCCACCAGGCATTTGACAGTCGCTTCAGTAGTTGGCCATTCGATTATCCAGATGATTTTTCTTTTTTTCCAGGCCCCTTCTGAGACTCCCTCCTATCCCCAGCGCGTCCCTACTCCCAGGGTCCTACCTCAGTGTTTTTCAAAAGGGTTGCAGGGGTGTAGGGGGATCGGGCACAGGGAGGAGGGCCGACAGCAGGTTTCACGCTCCGGGTTCAGCCGACCTGTTGGCACAGCGGACTCACCCACACACACAGGGGTCACTCAAGGCAAATCGCAAATCCTCGTTCACACAGATACCCGGGAGTCTCGCTCCGAACCGGAGCTATCAGGACGCTGCAACAGGGTGCACCCCTCTTGAACTCAGTGTCCTGCATCCCCGAGGCACTGGATCGGGATACATACCCGCATCCGGGCGCCGGCGGGCATTGCCAGTCAACGAATCCATATTTTCTATACAGGACTGTGAACCCGGTTTCCAGCAGGTGCTGGCCCCCACCTGTAGAACAATACGTGGGGGCTATTGCATGGTGGATGCTCTTATCACCTCCTGCAGTAGAACCCCCACCACCACTACCTTTCTCGTATAGAGGGCCTCGTACCCATGTCAAATTCGGAGGCCGGGCGCCGCCAATGAAAATTATTAATGTTGCCCGACGGCGATTTTTTTGAGGTAGACTATTCTACGACTTAGCGTCACAGTCTGAACAGTAGGGGTGGTTAAGAAAAAAAAAAAGAGAAAAAAAAAAAAAAAAAAAAGACTGCCAAGAGAAAGAAAAAAGGAAAAAAACAGATAATGGAGGCATGCAGCGATTGGCTCCACACTGCGTTGGCATGTCATGCACAAACTCACGTCCTGCGCTGCTTTCCTATCAGAGTGGGATAAATGCAGAAGGGTCAAGGAAAGGGCGAAAATGGGGATTTGCTAAGGATTTTGGGGAAAAGGAGGTTGGCGTTCCAAAATGGTTCCATTTGAAGGTCTGCACGATGGCGAGGGACTATGCAATTTGTCCTTGCGCAAAAAAATTCACAATCTATAACGTGAAAATGTTTCAAAAATCAGAATGGCCACGGCTTCCCATGGCAGAAGGGCGCAGGCCTATATGCGGAATCTCTGGTCTAAGTGAGAGTTTGACGCAATGTCTCACTGAGCTCAAACTCGGAATCAAACGTATGCAATCTCGTTGCCCTTTCCCCTACTTCTTGATCTCCATGTGGCACGTAGTCTAACTCCCTCTCTCTTAAATACTCGCTTCATCTACAATGTGAACACAATATACAAGGCCAATAAGATACAAAAACGGGTTACGGGATAACCGTCACCTCGTTGAATGGGATAAAAATAGAGAGAGGAGGAAAGGCGGTATCCAAAATCACAAATCTGAAATTGAACCATGACTAGCCCCGCCGTTTTGAATTGGGGGGGGGACCGGTAGCACAGGTCCATGATGGCTACTAGTAATCGGGGGGGGGCAACTGGCTGAGTGCCAAAATTGAAAAATGCATCTAATTGCCCCCGCAATTTTTTATTTTTTATTTTTAAATCAAATTACTCCAGTCTATTCGTGGGGAGCAGCACGTGCTGGGAACTGGGCCCAGCGTCCCCTATAATGGAAATACATTGATTGTTGATGATCACTGATGATAAAAAAAATTGGGATGATTGAGGATCATTTAAGATCATTTAGGATGATTCGGGATGATTAAGGATGATAGAGTGGATGATTTTGCCCCCGCGATTTATTTCACGGTTGAAATGAATTTTATTTTATTTTTTAAAATATTTTTCATAGAAATATCACATCAAAATGTGCATACCCTCCAATTTTCATACTTTTTGGACTATTGTATTAAATCATTAAAGTCGGGGTACTTTTCTCGTTGGGCGACACCTGATAGAGCAACAAAAAGTAGCAAACATGGAATATAGGACGAATTGGCTCGGCATTTATTATATGATCATAAATATTTTTTTTTTTAATTTTTTTTTTTTTGTGGAAAACTCACAACAAAAATTATAGGCCCTTCAATTTGCAAAGTTATTTAGTCATCCTTCTAAGTGCAAAAAATAACGGAAGCGTGGATACTTTTTCCGTTGGCCAACACATGTCAGAATAGTAAAAATGGAAAATGCAATGAAATGGCGCGACATTTATTTCATGGTCTATTTTTTCCCCACTTCTTCGATATTTTTTATTGGAAAGATCA